CGGTGGTGGTAGGGAAAGAGTTCCCAGTCCTTCTTGGAGAACTTAGTAGCAACCTCAACCAAGAGCTTTAGCACTGTGTCAACAAAAGGCCTCCTGAAGAAGCATGAAAACACTTCAAGAGAAGTGTCAACAATGGGAGATTGTTGGGTGTGCTATTGGAAAGGTCCCTTGAGTCCCCCACCCTTTGTATGGAGAACGGCCAACAGGAAGATTGTTGGAAGAAGGGAAACTAAACATTTCTCTAAGAAATAATACCTTTTCTTTTAGTCTCCTCCGCAGCCTGTCTTTGGAAGACTGAAGCAAATTGATCTTGGGTCTTTCCCCAATGCGCTCATGAATACTGTCTTTCCGTTTGGTCTCTGACTCCTGGTTGTACTGCTGAGACTGCTTCTCCACAGCCTCTGGGCCTCGGTGTGTCTCCACGGGGATATGCACCGTGCAGACGGAGGTGTCCTCGATTTTCAAATTCTCAGTCTCTTTGGCGTTTCTGTGCGTTTCTTTGTCGTTGGGTGAGTGTTTCTGGTTGTGGTGCCATCTCCGGTTCTGGCTGTAGCCATGGTGGCCCGTCCTGCCTGAGGAGTGAGGGGCCTGGCCTCCTTGATATAGTTTCTGGTGGTCCCTGTTGTGTTTGGTGCCACCTTGCTGATGATCTGCGTGCTGCTGAGACTTGTTCCCACCAGGAAGTCTCTGCTGTCGCCTGGGAAAGCCAAAGAAAGTCATTAGTTCACCTTTTCCTGGTTCCATTTGGTCAACACATCTGTCCCACCAAGCAGCCTGGACCTTGGTGGGTTCATCCCTGGAAACGTTCAAAACCTGTGTAGATGAGGCCCTTAGTGTCATGGGTTAGTGTCATCCTCCAGTGCTGGAGGATGGTTGGACTTGATGATCTTAAAGGTCTTTTCCAACTGAACTGATTATGTGATTCTGTGGGTGGACTCTGTGGGTGTCCCTACCACAAAGGAGAACCGATTTCTTGGCATCTAACACAACCTAGTACCAACTCACAACTCTAAATCTCTTTTACCAACAAGCATATTTCAGCTGAAAGTTTCCATGAACAGTTAGATAACGTGATTTTGGTTTCCAGGAAAATCTCCCCCAGGTTTCTATGTTTTCTGTGTTGCTTCCACACTAAACCAGGGAAGACTTACTTAGTGCCAGCTGAGCAGCAGGAAGTCAGTCAGGCAAGAAACAGCAGGAGGAATTTTTTCCTGAAGACCTAAGGAACTCCTAATACAACTAGCCTACAGCATCACTTGCTACCACCTCTGCTGCACCAACACAGCATACTGCTTCACTGGTTTGTAGTGAACCATTTGAAGTGTATCAGTAATATCAAAGTGGGAAAATAAAAAGCTAAAAAGCAAATTACTGACTAAAAGAGGTGCCCACACCAAATGATTTTGTTTGGCCTTTCTCTATGCATGTCCTTCATCACTGCTATGCTGGGACAGGATACGCGCATGGATGAAGAAGATGAGGACTTTGCCGGGCTCTGGCAGTACAGGGAGCCAGGACCATTACCTCCAGATAGGAGGCTATGTGAATACAGCTCCAAATGGATAACACAACAGCCACATAGAGGAGGAACTGCCTGCAGATGGTTTGCTCAAGAGACTACAATGGCTCAGAAGGGATGAGCAAGCCCTCGTGTGCTGGCTGTAACCAAAAGCTGAGATGGCAAGTCCCCAAAAAAACAGTGGTTGAATGGAAGAAATGCTTTGGCAGTCTTGAACATTTCATATTTCCACATGGGCTGCAGCATGGCTTTCCCAAGTGGAGAAGGCAGAGATGGAACACCATCATTAAGGACGTAGTTAAGATGGAGATGGTCCTGGTGTCAGCTGCCTTCACCCGGGACAGCACAATGCTAGCCCTAAGCACAGTGGCCACTCCCTGCATGCCTGCTGCCCTTTTAACACTCATTATTGGCTCTGAGAACACAGGGGATGTCTTCCTTAATGCTCTGCTCCTTACAAGGCTGCTGGGAGCAGAACTGGAGGCTGACACGGGACAGAGAATCATAGAATGATTTGGGTTTGAAAGGACCTTAAGATCATCCAGTTCTAACCCCCCTGCCATGGGCAGGGACACCTCACACTAGACCATGTCCCCCAGGACTCTGTCCAGCCTGGCCTTGAACACTGCCAGGGATGGAGCATTTACCACTTCTTTGGGCAACATCTCCCCAGCATCATCCCCCGAAATGGGGATACAACTATGAGTGCTGCAGTGACCACACTGGTCTGCATCTGCACTGGTTATAGCTGTTATGATCCCCCCGCTCAGCCTCATCCTTACCCCAAATCACTGCCTGCACTACAGTAAATAGCAGCATTTATTTTAAACCCATCACGGAGCAATTAATTTTATTTTCATCATCTGAACCACTCAGCTAAGGGTGCTTGAATGAAGGAAGTGGCCATTCACAAATACATTTCAATGGTCAGTGGCTAAACAGCCTCCAACCCTGTCTGCCAAAGCAATCTCACCATCAAATCTGTATTCCTTGGCATCTCCAGGAGTTAAAACCTATTTTCCAAGGCCAACTGGCTCTTAACCATAAAGAGCGAGGGCTCGTGTTTGGTGAACACAGGATGAAGAGGCTTGTTCCTTGTGGCAGTGGAAGGAATTTGTGTTTAGTCTCAGACCACCAGATCCAGTTTTCTGAGATATTCGATGTGGGTTTCTTTTCTTTTTTGCAAGCTGAATGGCAGGGAATTAAAAAAAAAAAAAAAAAAAAAAAAAAAAAAAAAAAGGACGTGGGGGAAGCTTTCCTGTTTTCTGGAGCTTACAAGCATTTTATGAGTACAGATTCTCCACATCAAGTTTTCCTGGCATTTCTTTGTTTCCTCTCAGTAACGCAATCACATAAACCGCTTTGTAAAGGGCAACGCTTATTAGAAGGGGAATGTCAAAATAAAAGTTAGTTAAAGCCCTTATCTAGCACTAAGCCCTCACATGCTTAAGTATGCTGGAGTTTTGCTGATACAATTCAGCGTTTGCTTTCTGTGGTTTTGCTCTTCTCTTCACTCAGACATTGGAGTTTAACTGTTTGGGTACACTTGCAGCCATGGGTTATAAGCCACAGAGGCTGCTACTGTATTTAAGTTGCAAATATTGCACAAAAATTACAGAAGTTGCACACAAACACGGCTTTAGTTTAAGCAGAGGTAAGGCAAAATGCCTGGAAATGAGCTGGGAACCAACTTCTGCTGCAAATGCCTGCAAGAAATGTGTGCAGGAGCACTTTTTTCCCCTAAAGACAATGATCCTATAAACCAAACCGTTTCTGTTTAAGGGATGTGAGAGAAAAAAGGTTTAAGATTAAAAAAAAAAAATACCCCAAACAGTTAAGCCAATGTGGAATGTGTGAAATTGTTCAGTTTGGGGCTTTTGCCATAGGCAGAAGACAAGCAGTTCCGTCCCTGTACAGGACAGCTAAAAGGCAATATCCCCATGGCAAGGGGTAGAGCAAACACAAACCAAAGCTCTGCAGTCACCAACCACAGGACGGAAAACACCAGAGTTAAACAAGTTAGGGGAAAAAAAAAATGCAAGAAATAAAAGGCAAAGGAAGGAGAATGGCAAACAAGGAGCAACGTCCGTGACTTGGCAGCAGGCAGGGGTCTAGACAAGCATCCAGCATTCAGGCAAAGACTCGTTGTGTGCTTTTATCTTCCCAACACCCCAGCAAAGAAGAAAAGCCAAGAAGAAATAGGACTCTGCAGGGAAGAAGAGCCAAAGCAGGGAGAACGGGGCCCAGATCTTTGAACTTTCTTTAGATGCACAGCACTGCAAAGCCTGGGAAGCTGGGATGACCCATCCTTGCTCTCAGGTATGACCAAGGTGCTGGGGACACAGACAGCCCCAGGAAGGGGTAAGATGGGGACCAAGGCATCCCACCCCATGCACCCACTGTGGGTTGAGCTGATGGAAACAACCTCATGCTTGCTCAAGGGCTGGAGTGTAGGTGCCACGATGGTGGCTTGGGGTGACCCGCCAAGTTTAGGGAACCAGACCATGTAGAAATCCGAAGGCATTTCCCAACCCAGGCTTTTAAGTTTGCAATGCTGAAGGGAGGAACAGCTGAAGCTTGAATCACACACCAACACCTCCAAGAAAAGCAAGGATTCACCCCAGAAAAATGCCACAGTTAAGGGGAAATCCTCCTGTCCCTCTGCTCATCCTTTGCTGTAAGAACATGGTGCCTTGCAGGGAACTGCTACAAGAAAATGTGTCTAGACAGCACAGTGGTCTCTTACCTCTTGACTCCATTAACATTAAATAACTATTTTCACTTCAGAGGCCAAATTCTGATTCAGCTCAAAACTCCCCCTGTCTTCAGAGGGACGAGGGATTTGGCCATCGGTCAATGTGGAAACTAAAGAGACATTCAGAGTCACAAAGAAACTCCAGAAGTACTAAAAACCAAGGGGAGACAGTCAGGGTTGCCAAGCTGGAAATAGGATGGTATCGCTTCTGCTATCGTTTCTCCACTGATTTTATTTAATTAACTAAACGAGATACCTTTCAACAGAATTTAGATGTGACAAATGTCTGCTCTGTCGGAGGAGCCTACACAAACAAATCTAAGGCTTCAGCTGTCTCGGTGGTTACCAGCCTACGTGCTCAGAAATACAGGATTCCTGCAAGTTTTTACTACATGGTTTGCTCCCAAGGAAAGGGGCTGGAAGGCACAAGGCTGGGGAAAATAACTCCAGACACGTGGACAGCTGTGGTCTAAAACACAGTTGCTCCGTCCCGTCAGCCCTGCTCACATCCCCCTGAGCGAGACGAGTCCTCTGAGAGCCCCCACCATTTGTCTGGCATGCGGAGAGCCGGAGGACAACGCGGGGTTACATTCTGGTGGTTGCACGGAGATTTGGTTAGGCAATGCTTGCAAATAGTGAGAGGAACAGAGCTACAACTCCAGTGGCACTCGAGACATTCACCCTGCGGTGCAGAGCATCCCGTATGGCTGAATGGATAGTGATCCCATCCGTGGGCTCAGGGACGGGGTGCTCTGGATGTGCTGGCTCTTCCCTTTGAAGAACAACTTTGGACATCGCTCTTGCCCTCAATCCCAGGCAACTTTCCCATGGGACAAACCCTCTAGGGCATGCTAAGCTCCTCACAGGGGAGGGATGCTGGTTTTGTCCTGCTTTTTTGCAGTGCTTGAAACCTCACGGACATGGATGTGGCCACCCAGCAATTCACAGATAATACAGACTTGCAGCCACTCAGGCAAGAGGTTGAGAATAAAGATTTGGTGCCACGGCCAAGGTCAAACCTTCTGCACCCCCTTCATCCTTCTGCTACTTGAATGGCAACGTTCCTCACTGCATTTTGCAGACAGAAAGTTCCCCTACACCCTTTCTTCTGGTCTGGCAGAATCTCACCTCTGTAGCAAGATCAGGCCCAGGAATATGATGCTAATTCTTGGGAGCATCTTGTGATCATCTTTGCTGTTAACATGCCTGTCATTAATTAGCAATTGCTGTTATAAGAGCCAGATTAAGATCTTCTTCCCCTCTCATGAGGACCTCAGAACCCGCTTATCCACAAATCTGGAGGAGCAAAGCACCCCTAAGGCATGCAGCAACTGCACCTCGAACGGAGGACTGGTGAGATGGCTCTATGGGAAGAAGGGCCATCTCTCTCCATCTTCTCTGTGAAAATCCCATAGTATTTTCC